CCATCAGACAAACGGCATAAATGTGTCGAGTGATTAAGTAACCTCAAGTTAATTATTACATTACTTAAGAAATGAACATAACCCTTCAGGAATAATGTGAATCGGGCCAGGTGATAGTTGAATCGGTCACGTGAGCCGGTGGTCGATTAAAAAAAATGGGAACTGTAAGAAAATCCACCCTATCTCCGCTCTTAAAAACTTGTATAGGAAAATATATTCCACTTCCTTTTTTGTGCTTACAACTGGAGCTTTTGACGGGTGCCTTCACGACTGAGTATCCCAAGTGAGAGAAAGTGTCTAGCGTCTAAGGCATCTCCTACTCTTGGGGCCCCGCAAACGAAGGTCCTCCCCCCCCGCCAACACAGGCTGATACACGTGTGCTAAGACGTACTGGCAACACCACGTACAATACTTATTTCTTAATGGCGGAGGTTTACTGTATAGTGTAGCTGCCAAGTGTTATTATGAGGACTACAATATATAACGAGAGAGAGAGAGAGAGAGAGAGAGAGAGAGAGAGAGAGAGAGAGAGAGAGAGAGAGAGAGAGAGAGAGAGAGTTCACCTATTGATCTGTAGACTCGTCAGGTTAATCGCTTCCACCACACTAATTATCTCTTCTCTCTCACACACACACACACACACACACACACACACACACACACCAGAGGATCTTAGGTAAACTTAGTGCTGCTGTCTGACAGAAAATATAAAACATAACCGAAACAGGAAACAAAACTACAATGTTTCCACCGACAGCGATGTAAAGGTAAATAAATCATTGTTTTATTCTCCGGGGACTCACCATGTCAACACACACGAGGCTCAGTACACCAACATCCCCTCATATGTACAGTACTTCACGTTGATAAAGGAATCTGTCAAACCATCCCAGACGTGAGACTTAACACTGTGGTACTGTAAATATATCCTGGGTTGGTGTACGTGGGCGAGGTTTGGTGTGTTGGGTGGAGGACGGTGAAGGAAGTGGAGGTGTGACACAGGTGGCGGAGGAGGTGGTGAAGGAAGGCGGTAAGGTAAGGTTGGTGTTGTGGACGAGGCGTGAGTGAGCCGTGGTATCCCGTGGGACGTGACACACACACTGACCACGCCCTGGAAGAACTTGTTGCGGGTAGAGTGCAACACAACACCTCACCTCCACCTCTGCCACCATGGTAATTAATACATAATATTAAAACAACGTACAGGTTGTCGTCAACTTACTCAACACGGTACAGTAATGCAGTAAACGTAAATACTCTACGAAAGGAACATTGGGTCATTGTGTCGAGTTCACTGAGTGACATTATTACTATGGAGAATGTACTTGTTGAACATGACTAACACTACGCGGTACACTACACGTTCAAACGCCCCATATTAAACACCATTCTCTACGCCTACTTATATCATCTATCAAAATGTAAAAATAAGCAAAACTGTAGAAAATTACTAAATAATTCCAAAGCATTCCAGCCTTCACCTTACACAGTCAACAAGTATTCAATATCACCATCACAAACTTCTAATGTTTTTACTACGAAACTTCACAAAGTCGACAAACTACCATGGGAAGCCTACTTGATCTCCAGTGATAAAATAAACTATTCAGGAGATCAAACGCATCATCTTACAACTTATAATGCTAAATATAAGTCGGATACTGAACTAATGGCTAAGTTGACCCTCTAAACCTAACTAGAACCAATAAAAACTTGACTAAGTATAAAATCGTATACAAGTGATATCGGCGCTGGCTACGAGGACCAGCGGGAAGAGATCTAGGTCAGCTGCGACCTCTCCCTCCAGCGACGGCCGCAGCATCATTAAATTTACGTCTAGGAACTTCTATGTGTATATATATAAACTATACTTTATACATGAGGCTAATAACACACATTGAGATATACAATGCTTTGATACTGACGTCATCCCCGACCACTAACTCCCTCACCATGATGCTAGCAGTCACCGGGGCACCTCTACTGCCTCTTGGTGCCGGGTCTTATACTGTCTCTTACCAGTAATATTCAGGACTGCTATAGTGCCAGTCAATGGTAAGAACTTTTTACTACTGCCTGGAAGTAACAGTAGCAAGTACTGTACAACATTAGTCTTCCAGTACCATTAATAAGCAGTACGACCATTGTGTGTGTTGGCGTCAGTAGTCAGTAGAAGGACCCTGGAGCCTGGTGACGCCCTGGGAGGGAAGGGGTGGACACCGGTGATGTGGTTGTAAGGAAACTTCTTCATTAATTAATTCACCGGCGAACCATCTGATGGTTCTGGTGATGCATAGCGCAACCCACCAATTGGCACGTAGAGCACAACTGCATTGTGATACTTTTTTTTTAGAAACAAATTAAGTTTTTAAAATAATAAATAGCGAGTTTACAGCAAATTAATTTACTTCTAAAACTCCAAATTAAATTACCACTAAAACTCCCAGATAAATACATATTGTTAACCTTTGCACACTAAAAATATGGATAACAGGAGACTGTAGTCAACACTTCCAATTTAGTAATGTTACTGTGAGTCATTTGGAACATGAGACATTTTTCCTAGTTTAATATCCAAGAACCAGTGATTTATTGTGTGGAACTATAAGATTGTGCTGAGATCCGTGACACTTGATGGTGTCCACGAGTGTGATGCTCGCCGGTGTAGCTGATACACCGGTGTAACATACACCTCCACTGTTTATTACTCAAGATATGTGGAAAATTATTTAGAGTTACATGTGTAGTGCGATTGAGAACATAATTATACAGAACTGGAAGGTGCTAGAGGGCTAGTCAGTGTTGGTGTTGAGGCTGGTGATCCATTAACACGTGTGGTTGTTGGTGGTGCTCTTGTTGTGAGGGTTGCTGCTGCTGCTGCGGTGGCTGGTACTGCTGCTGCTGGCGCCTCTTCCTGTAGCCCCTGTGGGAGAGACTGATGTGGTTGGTGAGCGTGTTCTTGGTCTTATACACGCGATTACACACGGGACAAGTAAAGACGTGTTGCACGGCAGAGTGGATGTCGGCAAGGTGTGTCCTTAACTTGTACTTGTCTCGTAGTATCTTGAAACATATGGGGCACTGGGCGCCCACCCAGGATCCTCCAGTAGCAGCAGCAGCAGCGGCCGCCACGCCCCGACCACCGGTGGCCCCGCCCGTCATCACACCACTACTGCTGCCGGTGCCGCACGTCACCACCGCCATGGGTGCCGTCTGCGCTCCAGGAAATGGTGATACAAACGTGGACGGCACCGAGGCTGGTGGTGTTGACGACAACGGGCCGCCTGCAACGACAATCAGGCATTTAGCATCCCTCACAGCAAGTGGTGCAACACGTACACCCTTCTGGTGCTCGGACATCTACCTACTGCTCTACCACCACCACTCTCACATTCATCATACTCTCTAGTCACACTTAAACTAAACTTTATCCACTTTTGTTTAAATGCCTTAAAATCCATTACTTTAGCTTACCGATCACAAGATTGTCCCAATACAGCATGTCCGTTTGACGGAGCCTTCAACACACACTGTTTCATTATCATGAAATCTATAAAAATCTTAAGTACAAAACAGACACACTCATCAGGTAACAAAATATATTTTTCATTGAGGTAATTTTAGTACTATTTTGTATGATTAAGACTTCTTCAGTCACAGGAGCAAGAGGTTCTTATGTTAGTCATTCCATAAACAATACTTCATTACAAAATATTAGTACACAGCTGCAGTTTTTATTCACTTTTCTATGTTTATATCAGCCACAAGATGTATGTTTGTCATGTCAGTGATAAGAGATACCAAAGGGGAGAAGCGGCTATTCGTCCACAATTTCTGTGACGACAAACTCTGACTGAGGGGCGGAGTTCTTGTGTGTGTGGTGCTGGGCGGCGGTGGTGGCGGCGGCAGCAGCGGCTAGGTCAGCGTCCCCATGCAGAAGAGACTCGAACCCGCCAGCTGGTGGCTGCATCATCTCCCGCGGGTCCTCGCTTTCCTCCAGGGTGACGGAGAGCGCCGAGGATAGCTGATGAGGGTCAGCGGGGAGGGCATCTCGGGACACACCCTGGTCAACACCGGGCACATCTCGTCCAGTATGTCTAGCTGCTGCCTTCAGAGCGGCCAACTGGTGGGCGTTGGTGGGACGCAGGACAGTGTAGGACGGGTAGCGTCCCCGACGTCCCCTGGTGCCCGTGGCCCCGCGGTGGTAGACACTGAGGTGGTTGTGGAGGGAGTTCTTGGTGCGGTAGACGTGGTAGCAGATGGGACAGATGTGGGCACCACCCTGGGTGTGCTTGTCCTCAATATGTCGACGTAGGCTGGTCCACCGACTCAGACCCTTGTTGCAAAGTGGGCACCGCTGCTGGCCGGCTCCCACAGTGCTCCCGGCCGCGCCACCTGTAAGACAACCTCCATCAATATCCAGAGCGCCTCCCCTGCCACCGCTACGTCGCCACCACCACCCTCACTAAGGAAGCACAGCTACAACTAAAAGCTAGCAGTGACTTAGGTCACCCACTGAGGGAAGGGTATCATTTACTGGTAAGCAGCTAGGACTAGTGTCATGAGAGGAGCGGCCATGCTGGGTGGTGTCTCCTGGGGTCCTCTTGGTGAGTGTGAGACACTCACCACACCCTCCACCACCACTACCACCACCACTACAACAACCTCTGGTCACACTCTCACATGTAACACAGGCTTATAAATATCTTGTGATATGACTAATTTTAATATCATACTGTGTACAATAACTTTAATATCATACTGTGTATCATGACAGTTTAATGACATGGTGTGTATTATAACTACTTCTACTGATTTATAATAAAAAATTCCACTAAGTTATGGTGTATTATGGTATCTTAATTACTTGTGTTGAATATATAATTAATATCAGGTAACGTCTAATGTTATTAATAATGTATATCATAACTTAAAAGATGTGTTATCACAGCATGTATACAGAGTAAGGGAGGGGTGAAGGTAATAAATAACATCTCACATAAGGTCTAGCCGTTTATTTTGGAAATGCTAATACACAGCCACTACAAGCATGGAGTGCGGGACGGGACGGGGCCGCCACCACACCCCGCGTCTACTTCAAAGCGTTGGGGCTGCGAAAACATTCCACTTCATACCTAATCTGATAAGTTTCATAGAATAATAATGCATTCCTAGGCAAAAAATTTCTTCGTAACAAAAATAGTTTCATTTGTGTGTATATAAAGCGTGTTTAGGCAACCACAATATCTCGGGTAACTCTTACAGCTATCTATCACGGTCAGTTCTGAAACCCACTACCGAACCCCCGAATCCCCAAACCCCGGAACCCCGAACCTTTTATAGAGATAATGGAGCCATAATTCTAAATAATGAAACCTTATTTTTCTAAAACTTTATATTTACATCATTTACGACTATTATTATCCACAATAAATTTTCCTGACAAATATTCGCCCTGACCTGAGAGACTTATTCTTTAGCAGGTTTATTCGTCAGAAACTTTGAAACAATCTTCCAAAGTTGACGTAGTGTTTTGAAGTGCTTTAAGGAATTCCAATGGAGCAAATTAGTCTACACACAGGAAATTGTATTGTCCAATCTACCTTAAAATACAACACATCTGAAAGTCATTTTTCAAAATGTTCCAGCAAAATGCGTCCTAATGCACACATAATGCTTGGTTGGGGCATCTAACCTAACCTAACCTAAACCACATATAATGCTTGGGTGGGGCTTAGCTGGGGCACCTAACCTAACCTAACCCACATATAATGCTCGGGTGGGGCTTAGCTGGGGCACCTAACCTAACCTAACCCACATATAATGCTTGGGTGGGGCTTAGCTGGGGCACCTAACCTAACCTAACCCACATATAATGCTTGGGTGGGGCTTAGCTGGGGCACCTAACCTAACCTAACATAATGTGTTTGAAGAAGCTGATAAACAACATAACCCCAACATAACCAAGAACTAGAACGACTATACTATATAAATCCTGTGGTGGTAAGGACCTAACTTAAGAGGAGACTCAAAACCTATCTTCTACAACACCTCCGTATAGAACAATCTAATGGTACCTGGGTTATTTAATTCAACCTGGAATTAATAAAACTCATACTGTACTTCCCAAGTCCGGGTGAAATTGTATACATAATTCTATAAATTGTTATTAGCTGCCATAAGTACTATCAACCTCAACAAGCTTCAAATTAGCCAAGTTTCATTATTTATGGTTTCCCTTATCTCCACAAGGGGTTCGGGGTTCGGTACACAGATTAAACAAAAAATATAATAATAATAAAGAATTCGGGGTTCTGGGGTTCGTTTAGGATTAAGGGGTTCGAGGTTCGGTAGTGGGTGTTAGGGCTGACCATCTATCACAGCACTAGTTGTATATGACACCTATACAAAATTATCTCTGACTCTCGACCTAAAGCTATCTATTAGAAGCGGAGTATCTCAACACAGTGTTCTTCCATAATAAAAACTAGTCACATTTAGATTGGGGGGAAGAGGAGGCGGAGGGGGGTGGGGAGGGGTGGGGAAGGAAGGAAGGAAGGGAGGGAGGGAGGGAGGCTGTGGGAGCATTGATGGTGGTTAAGGGAGGGAGGGAGGGAAGTTGGATTGAGGGTGGTGGTGGAGGGAGTGAAGGATGAGGGTGGTGGAAGAAGGGAAGGAAGGGAAGGAGGATGAGGTGAGAAGACAAGACGGGTGAGAGCGACAAGTGGGTAGGAAAAAAATGATAAAAACAAAAGAGGAGAGAAGGGGAGCGAAGCTAGGGGTGAGGCGAAGGAAGGGAGGAAGAATGAAGGAAAGAAGAGATTAGGCACAGTATTAGAGACACAGAAGGAGATTTGTGGCACAGGAAGGAAGAGAAGAGGGGAAATGTAAGAGAAGGAATGAGGGGAACGGCAGGCCAATTTGGGTAGGGGTAGGGGAGGAAGGGGAGGGGGCAGTACACAATGGGAAAGAGAAGTACAAGGACAACAGAGGGGATGTAGGTGTTAGAGGGTACCACTAGTAGGGAGGTGTTAGAGGGTACCACTAGTAGGGAGGTGTTAGAGGGTACCACTAGTAGGGAGGTGTTAGAGGGTACCACTAGTAGGGAGGTGTTAGAGGTACCACTAGTAGGGGTAGGCACACTAGTAAGGTACCACTAGTAGGGGGAGTGTTAGAGGGCACCACTAGTAGGGGGAGGTGTTTGGAGGTACCACTAGTAGGGAGGTGTTAGAGGTACCACTAGTAGGAGGTGTTTGGAGGTGTTTTGGAGGCACCACTAGAGGTGTTTGGAGGCACCACTAGTAGGGAGGTGTTTGGGGCACCACTAGTAGGAGGTGTTTAGTGAAGTACCACTAATAAGTTGGTATTTGTGTAGGGTACCACTAGGTAGGAGGAGCCACAGGTACCAATAGGTGGTGCTCAGTGGAGGTGAAGATGACTGCTTGGTACTGGTACTGCTAAGGACCAGGTAGGTTAAAGGGAGAGGAGGGGGGGTGGAAGGGAGAGGAGGGGGGGTTGTGGAAGGAGGAGGGGGGGGTTGTGGAAGGGGGTGGGAGCGAGAGGAAGGGGGTGGTGGTGAGGGATGGTTGGGAGCTGCACGGTCAGCATCTACAGCATCTACAGCGGAAGAGAACTTGTGGATGTGTACACGACCTTGTGACGGACCATATGTAGGGAGCATAACATCTCCACCACCTCTTCAACCTTTAGAGTGCACCGCTACACACACACACACACACACACACACACAGACACACACACACACACACACACACACACTCACTCGTCTCCCCTACAGCAGGAAGTACGCCATATGGGTGCTGTTCGCCGCTGCCCACCACTAACATACGCACTTGATCAGACGGTACTATCATTGACGGTTCATTCGCCTCTACAGCATCTAGTGTGAGTGGTGTGAACATAGTCGAGCCGTTATCATATGTTTGTTACTCGAGTCTATAGTTCATACCTGACCCGCCGCCTGATCATCGGTTAAGCAGATAACATTAAGCATTCTGGGGGGGCAGGAAAGTGCATAAAAACTGGTCCAACCTGAAACACACGTTAACAAGGTGTGAAGGACTATGGTCAAGGTTCAATGTTAAGGCAATCGGGCCATCATCGGCAGGAATGATAATGAAGGTAAACTTGTCAAGAATCGAGCGTAAAAACCGCCCAAACTATCTCAGATGTCTACCGGGTGTGAGGAATAATGTAGTGACTTGTATAGTTCCGGTATGGTGACATTCTGGTGACCGGTTGAGGGGATAATTGATCGATAAACTCACTAGTGTTAATAGGTGAACGAAAACACCACGAGATCCTGGTGTGTGTGTGTGTGTGTGTGTGTGTGTGTGTGTGTGTGTGTGTTGACAGTACAGCCAGAGACATTAGTTACCACAATGGGGACACGTATGACGGTAAAGTGCCGTCGTGAGCTGGTAACACTGACCAGACACCGGAGATCAACACCTCCAGCCTCCACCAGTAATTATCATTATTATACAAAACAAAATCCCATCACATAATTTTTTTTTCCCCCCGCTGGACAAAACTCTACCAACACGATAACATTCATGGACAAAAATCACAAAATCCCGACAGAAAAGCGTAACAGCAAAATCCACCACAAAATAAAAATTGACAAAATCCCACCAGCAAGTAACTTTTTTTTTGATCTTTTAGTTTTAATAATTTATAAGATTAGGTTAGGTTAGGTTGATGGGGGTGGGGGTGGGGGTGGGAGGGGGGGTGTGTAGAATGGCATAGTACAGGGTGGAGATGCCTACGCTGACCTCCCTCCTGGCACTATCTCCACACACACGCACACACACACACACACACACACACACACACACACACACACACACACACACACACAACACACACACCACTACTTTTCATCCATCCTCTCGACAACTTCCTACTGTTGTGCTTATGGTATGATGGAGGACTGTAACGGTGAAGTGTCTGTGGTGATTGTTGTGGTGGTGACGTGTGTGGTGAGGGAGGTTTGGGTGGGTGGTTTGTAAGTGTGGTGGTGAGTGGTTTGGTAGTTTATTGGTGGTAAGTGGTGGTGGTGAGTGTTTGTATTGGTGGTAGTGTGGTGGTGAGGCATTGTATTGGTGGTAAGCGTGGTGGAGGTGGTGAATGTGGTGTTTTGCGGTGGTGAGTTATAGTAATGGTGGTAAGTGGTAGTGGTGGCGAGTGTTTTCTCACCACAAACGCTCACTAATTGGCCAGAAATAAGACTGATAAGCTTGCCTTGATAATGTACCCAAGTCAACAGTGTTTTCAGCGACTCATCTTCTGGGGTGGGGGCTGTGGGGGGGCTGTGGGGATGTGGGGCTAGGGGGGGGGATCTAGGGGGCGCTACAAGGTCACCTGGTCCCCCCTCCCCCCAAGACTTGAGCGGTACCCGGACGTAGCCGCGACGGGTGAGACCTCCCGCCGTGCAACCCGGATCAACGCGCCACACAACACACTTTAACACAACCTGGATCATCGACCACTTCACACTTTTACAACCCGGGTGATCACACCTCAACACGACTAATATGAACCAGATCATCAATCACAACACATTTACACAATCCGGTTCAGCCAACCAGAACGTTCAGCCGCACCCTTACACAATCTGAATCATCTACCTCCACACTCTATTACAACCTTGACCATGTACCACAAAACTACTATACAACCCTGATCTACCCTACCATATAACCTGATCTGACCACAACTCTTATCACAACCCTTTATACCCGCCTCTTATGCCCCACAACCCCCTAATACAACTCTTCACCACAACCTCTCTTACACGCCAATAACCCTGTCACAACCCATTCACACACGCCTCCTGTTCGTCTCAACCTTTACATACATACATACATACATACATACATACATACATACATACATGCCTTCTACTCTGTGCCAGTCTTCTTTTAGCGTCACACACACACACGCCTCCTCAACCCCCCCCCTCCCCATACATGAAGCCAATTAATCGGGTGGCAGATGTTATTAATCGGGTGGCAGATGTTATAAATCGGGTGGCAGATGTTATTAATCGGGTGGCAGACGTTATTAATCGGGTGGCAGATGTTATTAATCGGGTGGCAGACGTTATTAATCGGGTGGCAGACGTTATTAATCGGGTGGCAGACGTTATTAATCGGGTGGCAGATGTTATTAATCGGATGGCAGACGTTATTAATCGGGTGGCAGATGTTATTAGTTGGGATTGTATAGTATAACTGCCTTGTACTGTCCTTAAGTCAGTGGCTGTTAAGTGCCCTAATCTGGGAAATTAGCGTGTAACGGTGACCTTTGCCGCCAGAGGGACCTAGGGGAAGAGTGTCCGTCCGTCCGTCCGTCAGGGTGTATGTCTACCCTGTGAACACAATAACCAAAATAGAGACGGATGGATTTGGATGAACGCTGTGGTAGGTGGATGTAGCCCAGCAAGATCCCCGACAAGGTCAATAATTTCCCTTCACACAGTTGGGAATAATGGTCCCCTTTGTCTCTTTGGTGACGAGGAACCCCGGGGCCTGGCTGTCAACTTACTGCTGTTATTATTATTATTAATCTTACACATCATGTACAGTACTCGTACCTACCTTCCCTACGAGTATGAACTCATTAAGATTTTACAATCTCATGCTACTAATTGGACCAGGTATTTTATTGTTATTTTTGAAAGTAGGTGACGGTGGCCTATGATCACCCATGGGAGATGGTCACCTTCAAACATCCTGCTGCTCAATTGGTTCTTGTTAATTAACACGACAAAATACTTCCTCAATGCCTTGTTAGCTCACAGCGACCTTGGACTGACCTACATAAAAAAAATCACCTCCGGTTGGTGAATATGTTCTGTAAATATGAACTGATTTGAACCTACGATTCTCAAGGTAAGATGGCGCAAAATATGTTGGAAAAAACTAAACAAGCCCTCCCCCCTCACCTCAGGGCCAAGAGTTCGACTAATACATAAGGTAATACAAGCTATTTATCGGGCGGTACAAGCCAGTAGATCCGGTACAGAAAAAAGCCAACAAATTAGGCGGTACAAGCTACTAAGACGGGTTACGCAAGCTTATAAATAAGACGGCACAGAACAATATGGCTGGCGGGGCAATGAAGCGGATCTGGCGGCGGGAGACGTACAGTAAGGTGTAGGAGGCTGGGTGGTGCCGCAGCAGCGATCAGCACCTCGCGCCGGGCCCTCCTGTGTACACATCCACAAGTTACAGTTACTTTCTCTCAACTCAAACGTATACTTTAATTTCTCTACAACTCCTCACCAACGACCGTCTACATGTCTCTTAGGAAATGTAATCATTACTGTCTCTAATATAATATCACTCAAGTGTTTTCTATATGAAATTGTGTCTCTTCAGCATCTACTATCATTCAGAACCTTCTTTTATAAAAATGGCATAAAACCTTTCATTATTATTATCACTCAAATGCTTCTCTTATCATCTGGTATCACTCTCTGTGTAATATAAGTTTATATCACAATCGTATAGATCAAATAGTAAC